TGGTGTTAGCAGCTCCGATTGTATCACGGTTCAGAGACCTTTAAGAGAAAGCGCCAACCAGTTCCACCTTCTGAAATCACACAGGCAATTTACCCAAAAAACTGCATGAGATGAGATGAGATGTGAGCTCAATCTCATGCCATCTATTTTCTATCAGTCTGAAGAGCATCAGAGGATATTTCTATACACTGTATTGGCTATAACAAAAGATTACCACCTGTCTCCCCTCTTCAGCACCTGTTTTCAGATACACTGTGAAGATTTAAAAAAGCACAAAGATATATCATGTATGACATCTTTGAAATTGCATGTGTAAGTACAAAAATATTGTCCATGCAAGCAAATTATAAATGTTTTTCCGCACTAGTTTCTAATTCTATTTCATCACCTAAAGATTATTATAGTATCCTAAATTATAGTCTAAAAAATGTCAAATTGATTGGAAGTGCAGCAAAATTATCATTGCACTAAAGCACAAAACATAAATCCTGTAATTCTGAAGAAAATGACTCTTTAACTAAGATTTTAGAGAAGAAACGGAGCTAGCCTGCTTAATCTCAAATCCGAGAGCCAGGGGCAGCCGGACTCCAAAGGTTCGGCCTCAGAGGTCAGAGGAATTACAGATTTTAACGAAATCTTTGCCAGAGGATCTCGGGCTACGTCTCATAAGGGATTTGCTTGTCAAAGATTTACAATAAAAGAAATCATAACATTTTCATTAAAATTGATGCTACAACATTGAGGGATGTTTAAATCCGTCGTTATGTGGATTCTCTTCTTGGATTTAGAGAGCAGTCTTGCTGGACCAGTCTGGATAGGTTGTACTGGCTAAGACAGCAAAACAGCAATCTAACTCACTGTATTCTAAACTATCTGTGATGTTATGAAAGGATATATGACAGGAATAATCAGTGGATGATTTAAATAAACCATCACCAGTGATCTGGAAAGCAGCTGGTGGCCATGTTCCTGTTTTCTGCTGCTCTCCTGTGCCAGAGAAACACTCTTATACTCAGAAATGATGCTGATAAAAGTGCACAATGATGCCTTTTTTTAAAAAAATGTAAAGCCGGATAAAGCTTCATGTTAGATCCAGACCAATAGAGCACATTTACATTCATTCTTCTTTTAACACATGCAGCACAATCTGTGAGTGACGACGTGATGATTGCTCGAGTGAAAAGTTTTTCTATTAACTAACTAACTTCCCTGATATTCCCTCCACCTGACCACTGTGGCATTACTTGTGATTGTTTAGAAGAAAAAAAAAAAGTGGAAAAAAAACACAACAATTTCCCTGGAGGGATTAATAAAGGTTTTCTGATTGAGACTTTTCTTAAATTAAAAAAAAAAAAAAAGCCTGAGGATCTATTTTGTTTCAATTCCAACGCCCTAATTAACACAACTTTGTGAGATTGCCTGAGAGGTTTTTATTAACGGGATACTCGAGGGAATCTGGTTGATCCATGCTTGTGCTATACGGCTGTTGATTAATAGGTTGTTGTTGTAGCGGGCCAGAAACAAAGGTGCATGCCATGTTTGTCATGACCTCGAAATCTTCACTTAACACCGACACACGCACGCACACACATCCGACCACTCAGATAAGTAAATACGTCTCTAAACCAATCGAACAGTTTGAATCTTGAACGTCGTCAGCGTTTATCTGTTTCTGTTGCTATTCGTTACACTGCTGATAAAGGAGCTCTCTATAAATGTACAATATGAGGCTCAATTCCATTTTTCCCAAGTGATTGTAGCTTATTCCTGACTTCTTACTGACTACAGTTAGTTGTTCTCTATATCCCAGTTGTGTTCATATTGAGGATATGACATTTACACTGAACATAAAGAAACCAGGTTATTCATATTCCTGTCTTGTCCTCTGATACTTCTAATTATCCAGGTTTCCTTTTTTGTCTGCTTCAGTGCAGGTTTTAAGACGTTCAGAAATTCCGTCATTACTTTCCTGACCAATTTACTCTAACAGCTGATGATCAATCTGTCTGTGTGGATTCGGCTTCTCTGTCTAATCAGTAATGGAAGATGAGAACGAAACAGTTTATCTTGTGCAGAACTTTATTATCATTTGATGTGCAAATATCTTTCGGAGTCATGACTTTTTTTTTTTTTGTTCTGCCTATAAAATGAATGAAAAGAATGAAATATGTTCTAGAGAGTTTAAGCCACTGCGTTGTCCTTGTCTTACTAATAGTCCAAACTCAAAAGAGATTCATGAGTAAATCTGCACACTGGGAAACACGTCCAGGACTAATAGGAATGTTTCACCCTCCCGACAATCGGAGGAGACGTCTGGGATGAAGTCGGACCTAATGCTGGGTCCAGATTTGGTGACGTGAGATGTTTACAGGTCCATCGTAAACCTCCCAATCTGCTCTCAGACTCATGTTGGAGAAACTGTCTTTCTGTTCGTTTCTAAAGATGAGATAAGAGTCAGCTCGGTCTCAATCAATCAGTTTAATCACACATTGAATATTGCATTAGAGAGCTCTGGGTCAAACTCTCCCGAGCATCAGACAGACCACTTCCCTTTCCCTCTGAAACCTCTTTATACTGCTAAGTCACATGGTCATTTCGCAAAACAACTGATTAGGGCCCATCTTCATCACACTGAGTAGTTGCATCCTTATATGGACTTCTTTTCCTCCATCTTTTTCTCCGTCTGTTGCTTGTCCTGTAAAACCATACAAGGAAAAGACCCAAGCAACTTCTCCAAAAGGAGACGTTTCATGCTTATGTGCATATATGTAACTGCTTTTACAATTCAAACCTTAAGGACTGTACTTCACACATGGTATAGTATATTTATACACAACACTCATCACAGCAGCCACGATAATATCAAGCATGTTTGATATTTACAAGTATGGATGCTTATGGTAATCACGCTGCTGCCCGGAGCTGCAGACGCTGTTGCCAGGTAACAGAAAACATTTTAGCCTTTAAGGGTAACATACACGTACATATTATAAAGTGGTGCACTGCTCCCTGATTGGTCCCTCCAGCATGATAATCTTAATAACATCCTGTAGTGTGATGCACAATTATTTGAAATCTTGCAGTGTCTGCCATTAGATAGAATACATCTGCAGTTTCTCCTGATACAATCCAATTTCACAATCTGCTAAGTTATCATCATATTTTTGTTTTATGGGCCAAACTTATCCACATTTCTCAAATCAGATGTGATGCAAAACAACATATTTCAAAAAGCCAGTGTGCTTGTTAACAGGATATGAGATTCAGTTTAATTCACATAACCTGTTTTTTTCTGGACCGGTAACCTAGGAGGTTAAGTTGCAACGCACATCACGTCATGTGCACATTGCTCTCAAACTTTGTGCCTACTTACAGCACTGGCGTCATTGTTTGTGCTCTAAGGCACGCTGATATATGGCTGCAGCCTCGGAATCGAGCTCCATTTTCGACAGCATGTATGTACAGAGCAATTTCAACAAATGAGGCACTCGCGAAGCGATTTGCAGTAAATATACAACACAAAAGCGGAAAAACAGGATATCAAAATGTGCCAAGAAACAGAGACGGAGCTTTTGAATGTTTGTGGGAGAGTTTGCGAGAGTAATAATCTTCACGCAAAACATTGTCCGACATAATTGCCTCTGTGGGTTCTATTCATTCAGCTTTGTTATTGCTGAGAGTCATCGGCATAACCGGAGTGTCTGTGTGGCTGTGATTGGTAAAGTAACCTGAGTGCCATAAGAACCCTTGTGGCCCACTGCGGACAGTGTGTTGGCAGTCGGGTTGACGTGAGCTCCAAAGCCCGGGAGTGTTGTGGTTACCAGATGGCCGTGGCAGCAATCTTCAGTCCGTTCACTCACCTGGCTGAGTAAAGACTTCCTCTAAACCAGTGCCCACAGGAAATGGTCTCTACAGCACGTCTGCCTTCTCTGCTTCTGCCAAGACTCTCGCTTCCATCCTCCGCTCACGTCTCTGAAGTCTGTTTCAGAAAAGAGAGAGGGAAAAAAAAAAAAAAAGAGGACACTGATTTGGGCCACAGAGGCTCAGAAGGGATTGCTCAAAACAAGATGGCGAGATAGAGAAATTTGATGTCCCCACTTAAACCGCTGCCAGGTTATCATCCTTATATGTGACAGGTTGTTGTGGAATGATTCACGATTTATTTTTATGGTCGCTCTGTAAACAGTTCATTGTCACAGTCCAAATTTTAGTCACCGTTTCAGTGGGAGAGTCCCCGCAGAGACAGTTATGAGAGGTTTTATCATTTTCATGCTATTCAGAGAAGACTTCCTCCTTTAAAGGATTATTCAAATTCAATCTTTTCATATTTTGCGCTGTAAGATTTTTAACAAGTTAGCCCCCCGGGTGTGGAGCAAAACCTGTGGCATGTACTCAACCAGTGCATGGATGCTTATTATTCATGTATTTGTATGTTTTCTTAAGTTATGGTTCTTGGAAGAACAATGTTTAGTACTTGTTTTTGTTTTTTCTCCAGGGTAGGACGTGTCAAACCGCAGCCAGACAGTGGCACAATGTACAGAAATGTGTAAAGTCAGCTTTTGGAAGCCTTTGCAGATGAGAGTGACATTTACTTTGTGCTTTTTCTTTCCTCACATATTTTGCTTTCTCTGCTTCCATCCCCTCATCTCCTCCTTGACAAAAGGTTACAGCAAATCAATGCCTACCAAGCGAAATCAATAATGTCCGAACAGAGGTTCTCTCCTTTATTTATCTATCTGATTTGTTTGGCTTCATGGAGCACATTAACCTTATCTAAAGACATTCAGCAATGCTGCAAATACACTTGATCCTATTGATAGTGTATGCTAATACAAACCCATAAGTTCAGGTCTTGGCATCGTTGCTTAAAAACTTCTACTTCAATAAGTTCGCCTAACATCTCAGATGATGCTAATGTAAACAACCGTGTGGGAAGGAGCAGCTTTTATTTATTCCTCCCTCTTACCTGTCTCCCTCGCCTCTTTTTCACCCTCTTCCAGTTCCTCCCGTCATCCGAGTTTACCCAGAGAGCCAAGCCAGAGAGCCCGGTGTCACTGCCAGCCTGCGCTGCCACGCTGAGGGCATCCCCAGCCCACAGCTGGCCTGGCTCAAGAACGGCATGGACATCACCACCAAGCTGTCCAAACAGCTCACCCTGCAAGGTAGAGAGCAGCTCACTGATCACTGCAGGCACACCAGTCTATTTGTGTTGTCACTACTACTGATAGGTGAAGTGTGTTGTTTTTTTTCAAGATCAGTTCCAATTATTAGTAATCAAGAAGACCGATTACTGATATTTGGAACTGATGTACATTTGATTTTCATTTTTACTGATTGAAAAATGAAAATCTTGGTGTCAAAATGTAGAATAACAAACTCCAACACAAAACTTTTTTGAAATACATGTTTTATTAGTTTTACACATTTATTTAAAAAAAAGAGCTTTTTGGCATTTAGACAGTCAGATGTGGGACGTTGTGGTGACAGCGACGTGACTGCAGACAGAGAGGCGACTGCATCAGAGCCGAAGTAAATTACTTTATTCTGGAATGGGTTACCAAAAACATGAATACTGATAATCTGAAACATGCTGACTTTTAGATTCAGTGATTCAATAGGCTGATAGCTGATCGATCCCTACCTCTGATGCTATTTTTACTTATCACTTTATCTGCAACAGATGCGACTACTACCACTAAATAAGTGTCACTTTTAGTGTGTGACCACGACTCCCATCACTTGTACTAATATTGCTAATGCTCATCACTTTGTATGCATGAAACAGGTGTGTGTGACCTAAATGACCATCAGTGCATGTATTTATGTTCTGATACCTTTGTCCTGGTTACTTAATACCCACTACTGCCCTGCTAGCTGATCATCTGGTTGAAAACTTGCTAGATGCCATGTCTTGGGTTGCTGTACCTATTTTCATTTTAAAGATGTCGGCTTGAAATTGAGATATGACTGCAAATTAAGGCATCAAGAGATTCACAATGTCAATATTGTGAAACACTGAGAGTTTTGTTCAACCTCAGCATCAAACGCTCAGAAGCAAAAGTTTTCAAGTTTCTTATAATAAACAGTGAAAACAAATGCATTCCCTTTCAGGTTGTCTACAAAAACTATAAACCAGAAACCTGTCCCGCTGCTCGCAGAAACACAGCGTGTACCATGTTCTTTCTTTGAACTCCTACCTTTTTGAATCCTCCCTGAAACAAACCTTTCACCCTTCCTCCTAACTTATTAGAGCACTATTATGTAATGGTAGCAAAAGACGGCAGCATGGAAGTCACTTTTATCTCTTTCTGGAAGGCAAACTGTCTTTTTTTTTTTTTCTTTTTGTCTTTTCCTTCTCTTGTTCCTCAAAGCTAATGGAAGCGAGGTGCACATCAGCAACGTGCACTTTGAAGACACCGGCGCCTACACCTGCATCGCCAAAAACGAGGCCGGCGTGGACGAGGACATCTCTTCGCTATTTGTGGAGGACTCTGCGCGCAAAACTTGTATGTATAAGTCATGATGTCAGCGTCTGTTTTTTTTTTTTTTTTTCAAGGGAAAATGGAGCCATGCAAATGGAGCTCTTAATAATTTATCCTGTCAGTTCTTAAGAGTTTATATCCTGCGATTCAGTGATAGAGTGTCCGAAGGGGATGTAATAGCGATACTATCTTTACTCTCTATCTCCTGTTGTGGAAGCAGAAACAATTATTCGTGTATCCTTCAGTCCACTCTGAGGCCATTTTTGTCTCCTACATTTAATCTGTCTGTGCCTGGTTACACAAAGCAAAGGGCTCAAACCCACAATCATTTTCATTGGTGCGGAAAAAAAATCCACACATTGACTGTTGATGCTGCTTTCTGTGTTTCATATCAACGTAAATTTAATATCTTTGTGTGATCTAGTTGAACGACAGAAGGCATTTGGAGGTGTCACCATTTGTCATCATTTTTTGAGATTTGGCATCACAAGTAGTCGACTAATCACAAAAGTAATGAACAGATTAATCGATTACACAAACAATGATGAATTGTCATTCTTATCATGAATGAATGTGGTGCACCATAAGCTACAGAGGATGTCTTCAAAATGCTTGTTTGTTCTAAATAAAACAGGCCATAAACCAAAGATATTAAATTTACATCCATGTGCTAAGGTAAAACACGTGAATGCTTGTTCAGATATGTAGCTGATTATCACAACTGTTGTACATTACTTTTCTTCTCATTCAACTAATTGACTAATCATCCGCACCGCCGTCGATGTCATGCTCCACATCAGTGACTTTTAACACCAGCATTCACTGATGAGGGCGGTGTTTTTGATTAATCGTCGTCTGTCAGTACGTAACTCGGCAACATCAGGTTTGTGACACGTGTAACCTTCTTATTCATATTTGGAAGCGTTTTCCGACACAAACAGTCTCCACTTGTTCCCTCCTCGTGAGTAGAGTCGCACTCAGTAATTAACTTTGACCTTCTCAGAAATGTCAGAATCTGTCTTTGGGGTCTGCGACCAGTTGTTAGTGTGTTGTATTTTCCTGTGGGTAATTAGGCTTGCAAACAGTACACGCTCCAGCTTTGCAGTCGGGTCACACGCATCACGCGCTACGCTGTCCCACACCTCTGCCAGACCCGACGCGCTTAGATGTGATCCCTGCGGTACGACGCTTCCTCCGCCCAGCCTGTCACGCATCAGAAGATCATGCTCGGCCGGGTCAGAAGTCACTCCGGTGCTTTGAAGCTTTTGAAGCTCCACCGCGGGCCAAAACGGTGCTCAGAGTTAGATATGGAAGACCCTTTTTGGCGTGAGCAACCCCACGGGACAGGAGTTCAAAGGGACGTCAGCTGACAGCCAGACATGGTTGCGCCACTACATTAGGAAAGAGAAAGAGAGGTGGGAAAAAACAGACTTTTCTACACATGCTGTTGTCTGTCCTGAACATCCGGCAGACTGCATACTTGTTATTTTCCTGTGAGATTGCCCCCCTTTATTCGGAACTGGTTAAGTGAGCAAATGGAAGCTGACTATCTATTTTCCCTGAATTGGCTGCCTCTGTGAGCCTGAGGCTAATGTGGGGTGTCAGCTCACAACGCCTGCAGCCCTCCACCGCTAAGCCCCTCACCTCTGCTCCTAAAAATATACGCCGTGACATTTAGCTCAGCAGGGAGCCTTGAAATCTATATTGTTGAAGAATTTACAAATTTGTTAGCTCATTTCCATTTACAGTTCAGGTGTGTTGAATATATCACACTATTTTGGTATTCGTCATTTTATCATGTCATCTAGTCGTGTCAAAATGTCGCCACTGTGCCCTAAAAACACTCTTTAAGGTTAAAGCTGGCAAAACCGACGAAGTCCTGAGCCCATTTTTCTTACAATGTGAAAACATGTGTAATTTAGTTTGTATTTACAGTATTTACAGAAGCACTACTGTCTACGTTGGGTGGTTACAGTTTAAAGTTTTGGTATAGTAGTCGTGTGGAAATGAGGATAAATAACAACACAATGAATGATAATAAAAGAAAGTGTAGTACAGGTGTAATAACTGCCGTAATTTCCAGACTATTGAGCGCACCTGAATATGAGTCGCAACCACTGACTTTGAAAAGAAAAAAAAGATTGCACATATATAAGCTGCAGGTGTCCACGAGATATTTACACAGAAAGATTTTTATTAACGTTTAATTAAATACGTACCGGTAACATACACAAATATGTACCGTAAATGCTTTTTTCTGAACACCGCCTGTAACACGGCTGGTTAAATACATTAAAAATACAGCAGCCTACCAGGAAAAGTCATTGATCAATATCTTCATCTTCCTCCTGCACTAAAACCACTAAAGTCGTCTTCTTCAGTGTCAGAATTGAACAGCCTCAGAATGACTTCATCACACACTTCCTCAGTCTCTCTTTCGTTGTCGCTCTCAGTGTCACTTTTGTCTCGAGGCAAATTCATAAAAATTGTAAAAATCCATAAATTAGCCGCATCATGGTTTAAGCTGCAGTGTTCAAAGTGTGTGAAATAAGTGACGGCTTGTAGTCCAGAATTTAAGGTATAGTCTTCAAAAGCACACACAACAATCGTTAGTACAATCAAATCAATACAAGATTCTTGATGAACTCTTGTTTCAACCGTGGTGTTCTTCACTTGTCCATCTGAATTTTGTCAGTTAAACTCATCCTGGTAGCTTCTCTTCCCACTTTGTAACTTCGTGGAGCGCACACTGCCGTGATTTTCTACACTTATCAAATATTTTTCTTGTTTTTCTTCGGAGGGGGACTGATACACCTCCAGTTTGGATCACAGGTGATTTTGTTTCTCTGGAGGTTTGCTTGAGTTGTCGCTTTGAAAGCTTCATATCAAAGAGCTGCGGTTCAGACTTCTTTTACAGCCGAAAAACGTTGCTAATTGGTGTCAGCTCTAATATAACTCACCATCGCTGCCGTGCAAAGGTACAAACACCTCTGTTTAACTTATTTCAGAAATTCGGAAAGAAGTTTTACTTGCCTACCGCCAACATTTACAGAACACCGTGATTACAATTTCACCGCGGCAAAGACGGAACTCGTTAATTCCTCCAGCCGCAGATAGGTCAGTACAATCAAAACCCAGAAACTTTTCATGGGAACAGCCTCGTCTGTTTCGCACGGAAATCACAAAAGGTCTGGGATGAGAGAGGCGCAGAAAGAGGACGATTGGATTGTTCGGCTCCACAAGCGTAATTAGCTTAATGGTCACAAAAGGTCACGTCAAGTCAAACGTATTTCTAAAGTGCTTTTAACACAGTTCCATCACAAAGTACTTTACAGCTAACAACTGTGTGTGCGTGACACAGAAAGTAGATAATAAACTATTAAACAAATGTTATTACTCAGAGTTTAAAGGCTTTTCAGTTTGTAGACGAATGCTCACAAATGTCAAATATTTGAACATTTATTTATATATATGTGTTATAAAACTAAATTTATTCATCAGTAACTGCAAGACAAATTGATAAAATAAACTGACTAAAAATGTCTATTAGAATAATACTTCAGATGCAAGATAACAGATGATTATACCTACGTCGAGGCCTTTTTGTGGTTGAGCAGCTGCTCATGGAAGAAAGTGAAACAAACAAACACAAAACTCATTAAGTCTGCGAGAGGGCTGCGGGTTTGAGTTTTGACCCTGTCTTGTCATTTGCATTATCTTGGTATTTGATTAGCCACCACAGATGGACAGATTTTCCTACTGGGCCCTCCAATAAGGAGGTGGCCGGGTGGTATTTTCTAGGAAAGCTGCCAGCTGTTGTCAATACATCAGCGTTTAAGGCCAGAACAAAGCGACTGGGAGAGTCTGAGCTGCTCGTGCGCATTGTTGTGCGCGGCGTTAACACAGCAAACTTAATCAGGCACAACAAGTGTCAGCGTGCTCTGCAGCTGCTTTTACCTGAGCAGTTGTCTTAGTGGATAATAAAATGTTTAACAAGCAGCTGTTATTACCAAAAATATTGCCGTGGATTTGCACCGGATTCATTACGCTTAGTGCAAACAGATGATCCTCTGGATGGATGTTTAGAGCATGCACGGCTGTTTGTTCAGCTCAAGTTGTTGGATGTGTTCGGATATTCTGTGAGTCTCACACTGCAATTATTTGAATACATCTTCTCCAAAATAGATGTTAATTTACCACAATTTTGAACATCTGAATTCTGTATGATCAAACTTGTATATAAATCTGTATAGGGATTAATGTACGCAGTTACTTGTTTTGGTTGATTTAACAGCAGATCAATATACCAGAATTAGCCAAGAGACTATTTCTTTATCTGCACTTCCTGTACAGATCGTACCTGAAAACAGATTATAGGAGTTGAGATCATTTTTAGCATCACAGGGAGCAATAATAAAAAATGGAAAGCAATAGTAAAAGATTTAAAAAGATGAGTCACTAATCCATATCTATTCTTTTTCTCCTGCAAGCTTGAATAAAGAAAACCTTTTTTTCTTTTTTCATCATGGCCTTTTTAAACATTCAACAAACCGAATCACACACGATCAAAACAACAACAACAAATATAAAACTTTAACCCAAGAGAAGAAAAAACAACACAGCACATCATTTTTAGAATTACAAATAAATTGCACAATAATTGAAAAGAAATAATGAAAAACAGACTGCAACTCCAGGTTATGTTTCCATATTTAAAAAAAAAACAAAGGTTCCTCGATCTCATAGCTTTTAATTATTTCATGTATTCATCACTGAATGGAATACCAACTAATATCCGTCAGTGTGCGTACTTCTTATGCAGCCAATCTGTATTTAATTTCTACCTTTGTTCTACAAACACCGTCTCACAGTAGCGGATAATCTCTATGCATGCTTGCATTTTCTTCCTTAGTGAAGAACTGTCTACCTTGGGCAACACAGTCTGCTGCTTTTCCCATTATTTTCACCAGCCCAGCAACATTAGCGCTTAGACAAGCTGGCTAGACGTGACACCTAGACACCTG